GTGCTCTGGTGCTGCAGTTGTGTCTATCGCTCCTGCTGGACGGCGCTGGATAAAGGGTCTGTGGGACCTCTCTGGACTTGGCAGTTTGTTGCATGCGTATAATTATTTCAAAACTAAAACAAAACAGACCATCCTGCCTACATGACATCAACCTCCCATGGCTTAGTTCCAGTACAAGAAAACCTGGGATAAAAAAATGAGTGTGTTTGGCATTTTGTGCCTGTGAATAATATGAACACGTGTCTCCTCAGCCTCATCCCCGGGACATTTACCTCACAACAGACTATGACCTGTGTCACGAATGAGAAATCTTTGCTACAGCATATTCCGTATTTGCCGTTTGAAGCTCCTGAGGTTTTAGGGTGGTTGTTGATGCACTGTAGCAGTTCCTGGCTGAGAGCAGGAGTACAGGGGAGAGAGCCAAGCTTGGGGAGGGGGAAGATCACGAATGCCGTGAGTTGGGTGTGTTGCGTTTAATGATCCATGCGGACCTCAGCTGGAGGTGAACTGGAGCACTTTGACATCGAGGAGTAAAAGGCAAAGCACAAATGACTACAGCCAGAGCCCACCCCTCTTCCAGATCAGTTCTGACAGGCCAACAGCGTAGCCTCTAGACGTACTAGAAGCTAGTTCTCTCTTCACCTTCATTCCTTGGGTGCCAGATTTGGTGTCTACATTGCAAGAAAGCCACTCTGCAGTTCAGGCCTACTTCTGATGGCCATGAAGTGTGTTCAGGAGGAAGTGCATACCACACGTGTGAACTTTGGCAGGATTCAGCAGAGGCCAAGGCTCAGGCTCTGTTCTCCCTCTTCACAGGTGTATGCTGGGCCAGGTGTGTCTTGGACAGGGTGGGCTCACATTCCAATGAAGGATGCCTTCCCTGGGGCTCTCCCTCTCCCTGGGACCATGTGCAGAAGTAAGACAGTCAGGGAGACCAGGCTGCTGGGCTGCAGGGTAGCCTGGATGTTGGTGAGTTCTCAGGAACCTGGGGCCCTTGTTCCCAGAGAGGTGAGGTCCCTAGTTCCTGGGGTAGTGAGTGAGGCTGAGCCGGGATGAGGTCCTAGCCAGCTCTTTGTCCAGACAACTCGGGGCCAGCAGATAATTCTGCTGATAGGCACAGCCACGTAAGCAAGAACATCCATCCTTGTCACTGCAGAACCCGGACCCCTGATGGTGATGCACTAGACAAGAGGAAGAGCCAGCGGCCCAGCTATTTCCCCTTTTATATGGGAACTGTTTTGTGATGCCTGTGAAAAGCCTGAATTTGCAAATGGCACTCAGATTTTCATCATGTCACATGACTCTTAGCAGAGCAAATCACGACATAGTAATTTGTGCTCCAGAAAGAAACACAGGGGTTCTGACGAACCAGTGTACTCAACACAATGGCCACCATTTCTCTCTGGGTGTTTTGAAAGGTTGCCTGGTCTGCAGGGGCCCACAGAGGTCCGGCGTGTTGCTGGAGGTGCTCACCACCTGTCAACTCTTAAAGGAGTGAGGCTGTTAGGTTGTCAGAAAGGTCATGACGTATTTTTTTCTATGGAAAAATGGGTCGTGGTTTTGCCGACAACTCAATATTTACTGGCCAAAGAAGTTGTTGTTACCAAGTGCTATTATAAGATGACTAACATATTTAAGAAGTGGTTCTCTCAGTTCAAAGCCTTGGGAGACCAGACATTTAGGGGCTTCATAACTTTGAAATAAATCTTCTAATAAATTGGGATATATCACTTAATAATTGACCCGTAAGAGAAAGGGATCCTTCCAGATCACCACCTGCCCAAAGAAATGCTTGGTGTGGGGCCAGCAGGTGGCATGGTGGTTAAAGTGCTGGATTCCCATACTGCCAACTGTGGTTCAACTCCCAGGTCCAGCAGGTTGAAAATCACAATAAATAAATAAGTAGATGTTAAAAACAAAAGAAATGCCTGGATTAAGTACCCCTTCTCTGGTTACTGAGCTTTTTTTGTGTCCATTTTTTCTTTCTTGATCTAAGCTGCATAAACAATGCAACATGCACTTTCTTGGTTGCCCTGTTTTATAACCATTGTGAAAGCTGCTGGATACCTCGCTATCTCGGGGCACGTTTCAAATAATTCGCACAGTTTTGGCTTCTGGGCTGGAGAGACATCATGATGTAGTCGACGGCAAGAATCACAGCCGCTCTCACAGCAAACCAAGTCTGTCGATGTTTGGTAACGGGCAGTTTGAGCAGAAGGTCAGCAACCGGAAACCGCAGGTCACAGCACCTTTTATTTGTCATTATACAAACACACACACTCAGCATTGCAGAACAGTCTGAATGCCTTTCAAATCCAATTGTGAAAGTCACAGATGCCACCTCTATTGAGGAAGCCGTGAGCCTTCCTTCTGCCTTTGGGCACTGTGAATGGAAAGTCACAGGAGGTTCATAAGATCCGCCCCATACCCGAATTCCCCAGGGCAGTTTCATGTCACAGTGACGTGGCATTTGGCACAGAACATTTTCCTGAGAGAACACATCACACACTGGAGTGTTCCAGAGCCCCGGGCCCCTCTCCAACGCAGAGCACGTGATCCCTGGGGAGAGGCTGTACCTGTGATCTACCTGCAAGTCACACCATCCCCAGGCACATAACTGGACAGCGTCTCCAATTTGCAGGTCGAAAATAAACACTCATGATTTATTCATTTATACCAACTGAGATGGACTCACAGAGCTTGGCAGTCAGATGGCCTTGGTCGAATTTCTTCCTTCATGGATACATCTGTGCACCGTGGGTTGGTTTAAAAAATTAAATACTTTCTGTCAATAAACAATGATATTTACACAGACAATGTACAATGACTCTTTTGGTTAAGTATGTTTTTTTTGTTGTTGTTGGTTTGTTTTTTATTTATTTTTTTTTTTTTGCTATCCAGTTTCTTAGATGCAAAATTGTAGCAATTGCTTTAAGGCAACCTACTTTGCCTCAGACAGTGACCCTATTAAGACCACATATGTCTACAGGAAACTTTGAAGTTTGATTTTTATTTAGAGTTCTGACTTATAACAAGAAATTGGACGCATCTGTGTATTTCAATAAACAGTGGTAGCCCACCAAGGCCACACTATCTAAATTAGGTCCTTTAAAAACATTTGATGCAGTCTTACTGTAGGCACAAAAACAACTTGTTTAAAAAAATAAAACTGTAATTTCAAAGGCCTTTATTTCATAGGGAAGAGGAATAAAATAGAAATGCTGGCAGCTGCTTAATTACCAGCCCAAGGCCTGTCTGGATCCTTTCCTAGGTCATTTGCCCTTTAGATTCTGCAAATGCAAGAAGAAATTGTCATTGATTTTTAAAAAAATATCTTAGGAACCCTGGATCTCTTACTGATTCCGTGGATGTCTGGACCGCTTACATCTGGAGAATGGAGATGCTATTTTAGAAAATATATCACTCCTTGCCCAAGTTCATTTGATGAAATTACTATGTAGAAAGTAGTTAATTATATACATAAATAACATAAAAATAATTATCATAAATTAAAAAGTCAAACAATCTCCCACTATGAGTTCCACTGGAGAGGCGTGAGCGGGAGCGTGTGGAGTGGCGGTGTGCGGACGTGGACTGTGCGGCGTGGGTGACGCACTTCCCTTAGTTCATGAAGGCGTGTATTGCACAGAACGAACGCTAGCCCTGCTTGTAAGGTCTGCTATGTGGAATGGAGTGAAGTGCTGAGGAAGTTGCCTTTTGCATGACACACAGCATCCTTTGCCTGACTCGCACACGGGACCACACTGGCCTCATTTAGCTATCACTGGCCCATTGTCAGTATTTTTTCAAGGTGGTCTCCGGGGTAATAAAAGCTTTGCGACACAGTGATCAAGGACAGAATTAGGCAGATTTATCATTCCATTTCGGACAGTTTTAAAAAATACCCAGAGAGCAAAGACCAAACTTCTCTTCCTCACGCCTCTGCATGGCTGGCTGTTGGAGGCGGCCACCACACCTCGCAAGCTGGCCCAGAGCCTCTGAAATTCATACACACACATGACAATGCGTGTCATATCTCTGCAGAAGCAGAGCTGGCTGGTAGACAGCACGTTCACTTATTAGGGGCACTGACTGCATCTACTGTGGAATTAGCCTCTCTGTTTCCTTACTACCTGTCAGGAAACAGCATTCTGGCTGTATTTCAGGAATACCTATATAGTACTCTTCACTTTAAAAAGTCTAACTTTTTCAACATTTTTATAGGAAATTGATCTTGAGACATATCAACCTTTGGAATTAAAGTTGAAACAGAAAGAAAACTTAACTATCTTCCCTGTTCTTCTATTCAGGGGATTGTGGCTGAGGTTCAGCCACCATAAATACATTTGGATGGCAGAGAATCCTGAGACAGCTCGGAAGGAGCCACCGGGAGTGACAGCGCAAGGGCTCGCGCCTCACGCACAGCTGCGTGTCTCCTTGCATTTGGGTCGCTGTAGAATTGGACATGGACTGATCGTCCTACAGTGTAAACGACTTTAGCACATTAAAACAAAATAAAAAAATAATCTTGGCCACAACAGAGCCTTGAATACATAATGGATGCTCGAAATAAAGCTTAAAAAAACTACATTAAAAATGGGTGCATGGATATTTCTACAATGCCTCTTATGCCTGAGTCAGTGACCTCACGCGGCCTAGTGCCCATGAGAAACTCAAGGCCAGGGTCAATGGCAGCTAGCACATCTCCATGTAGTTTCAGTGTGTAGTTGTGTAACGAATTGATTCAACTCATACTTCAAAGAAAATAAACATTCCTGTGACTTCTATCTGCTCACCTGATGAACAATTGAGAAGTGAGGAGGAAAGCCTGT